CTCAGATGTGGTATAACACCCCCACTATTATGTTTAGTTTATGCTCTGTTTGGGAATTTATAATAGATTTGCCTTTATTTCATAAGCTTTAAAAGTTTTAAAAATTAGGGGTGTTACATAGTTACAACCTCCTTCACCTCCTAAACATCTCAAACAAACCATACAACCAATCTTAACCTATAAACTCAGAGAAGGATGAAAGCAAAGATGAAATGGAAGGTTAGGATTGAATGTAGAAGAATGGTGAACTTACAGTGTGTTCTTGGTGTTCTTGCATAGGGGAGCTCAAGGGTGGAAACAAGAGGCTAAGTCTGATAAATGCTCAATATATAGGAGCACAAAACCCTAGGTTGATCACCCATGATTGGTGGAGGGCAAAAGGGGAAAAGCTTTGGCTAGAAAGTTGCATCAGACAAAGTGTTAGTGGCTTGTGGTCCACCATGCTTCATGAACCAAGGGCTTGAATTGCTATTTAATATAGTTTGGGGTTGAAAAAAGGAATTTTCCCAAATGATTTATAGATGAACACATGGTTTAAGCTTCTCAGATTCCTCCCGGTTTCACTCAGATAAATTTCTCAGTTCAAAACTTGGCACGCAATGTACCCGAAAATTTAGGATATTGGGATTTAAATCCATTCTTGGCGTCTAATCAAATTTAAAATGGCTCAAATAATTTATTCAACACTGTTTTCTTCGTAAAAAAATTTATGGAGCGAAAATTGGCTATTTTGGATTTTCTTACAACCAGATTTATAAAATAAATTTTGGGTTGTCATAGAGACAATCAAGGAATTCGGTATTGTTTTTGATTTAGTTTATATATGAAACTCGTTGGACCGGATATCCTTAAAACTAAGTAAGGTTCTTTTGATTGAGGATATATGAGGGCAGTTTCGATTATTAACTTTGTTCCGTTAAGAGGAATAAGTGAAACTCTTCCAGAGCCCAAAATAAGAATCTTTTATCTGTCAAAACAGTGTGCGTGGTTGCTCTATCTACCAAGGATAAATCCAAAACATCCCCCATATCTCTATAGAGAAATGAGTAATTAGGAAAACGAGTGATGAATATTCTATTCATAAGAAGATTTATTTAAAGAGCATAGAATATTTATTCAAAATGCACACAAGCACTTAAAAGTATGAAAAAAACTGTCGAGGCCAATCCACGATTATTACATAAAAACGAGGATAGAAAGAAAAGAAAGATCATTCTTGATCTCCATAATCTTCAAGCTCATACTTCATGAGGTCATCATCATCAGCATTATCAAGTGCGTTTGCTTCTGGTAACGCAACATGGTGGAACTCATCTTTAGGTCGCGTTTTGTCCCTCTTAATTATTTGCTGATATGCCTCAACCAAGTGCTTCGGGGTGCGACATGTACATGACCAATGTCCTGTGCACCCACATCTATAGCAGGCTTGCTGCTGCCCGGAATAATTGTTGGATGAGCTTGGTTGTTCCTGATTTTTTCGGCTGCCTTTGCTTGTTGCGGGAGTTATGATTCTTATTGCATCCATGTCTTCCTCCACGACTTGGACCCCTTCCATGACCTCTTCCTCATCCTCTACCTTGGTTCCCCCTAATGTTGCTCGACTGGGCAACATGGTGTGCTTCAAGCACTGGTGCAGAGCCAACATGGCGTGCATTATGGTTTCGCATTAACAACTGGTTATGTTTCTCAGCTACTAGGAGGGCGGAAATCAGCTCAACATGCTGGGTATAGTTTTTGGCCCTGTACTGCTGCTGGAGTACAAGGTTACTAGCATGAAATGTGGACAAAGTCTTTTCGATCAGGTCTTTGTCAGAAACTTCTTGTTTACAGAGTTTGAGTTGTGACACAATTTTATGTAATGCCAAATTATATTCAATTGCAGACTTATAGTCTTGGAACCTCAAATTCAGCCAGTCATATTGTGCATGGGGGAAGACAAACGATATTTGTTGATCAAAGCGGTCCTTGAGGGATTTCCATAAAATGTAGGGGTACTTTTCAGTAAGATATTCATTCTTAAGATCATGATTAAGATGACGGCGAAGGAAGATGAGTGCTTTGGCCTTCTGGGCCGCATTACTTGTGGAATCAGCAATAATAGTATCTTGTGGCAATTTATATCCTACACCACGGCGCGCGTTGCACTGTGCGCCCAGATGCAAAACGACGTCGTTTTATTTTTTTTTTTTATTTTTTATTTTTTGAAATTTCCCGCCCCAGTGAATGGCAGTTATTTTTTCTTTAAAAAAAACCTGTTAAAAATGTACATAATGTTATACTAGAATACACATAATTGTTTACATGAATGTACATAATTATATAACAAAATATACATACTCTTTTTAAAAGATAATACACATAATCTAACATAATACATAATAAACATAAACTTTTAACATAATACACATCAACTCTTAACATAATACACACAAATTTTCTGATTCGGATGTACATAATTGTATAAAAAGAATGTACATAATTGTATAAAAAATGTACATAACTGTATGAACAAATATACATAATTGTATGAACAAATATACATAATTGTGTGAACAAATATACATAATCACAGTAACTTCCTACCGCGCCTCCCAAAACGACCCCAAAAAGACGTCGTTTTGGGAGGCGCGCGACGCACAGTGCTACGCACGCCGTGGTGTAGGGTATAACGATTGGTATCTTGTAGCTTAGTTGATGCGAGATAGATCTCAACATCAAGAACCCAAGTTAAATAATTACTCCCGTCTAAGGCTAGTTCGGTAAATTCACGCTTGGTTAGTGCAGCCATAGTCTACAAAAATATTAGGAATCTTTTGTTATTGCAAAATTGGCCCACGCACAAGTTGAGAGAGAAGAAAAATAATATGCCCAATTGATTTGTGGATCAACTTAGTCAAGAAATAGGCTAGAGAATTTGTCAATCCTAATTAACAAACAGATTAAACCAAAAAATTATAGACAATCCTTAGGTATACTTCCAGGAAAGTTGGTCAAGACGAAGCTTGGTTAAATACCAACTCCTTAAACAGAGTAGTGTCACAAGGGGACTAGTAGCAACAAGGCGTTTAAGCCAGGGCCATAGAACTAGTATTCGTCCCCAAGAAACTTCCCTAATTTATGCGTTCTCATATTTGAAGTAAAATCGTTTGAGAGATCTAAAGATTCGCCTACGGATAAGGCTTTGAATAGGGTAAACTATGAATATTTATTTACTTATGTGCTTTTTAAGAACTTTATAAGAACACGAGTGGAGTAACAGAGAATATACCTTAAAAGACACTAAATTCACCTAAAAGGCTCTAAATCATGCATAGTATGTTAGACAATAATATGACTAACATGAACTATAGTAAACGAGTAACCTGCCTCGTTACAGCGGAAGCTTTAGGATCGCCCGAATATCCCCAGCCATAGTCGTTGGTATTGCCACGAGATGGTAAACCTGCATAATAAAGGCTAGTATTTTGTTTACCTCTTCTCTCCCGAATACTCGATGGTGCGTGTATACTGAACATGGGAGCTGTGGGACGACTATTTTGCTTAGAAGCCCACATGCCATCAATGTAGGCAGATATTCAGTTAAAGCTTAACTGAATATCCTGAGTTGCCTAACAGATTAAGTCACTAACTGACTTAATCTTCCACTTGCACCACAACCACCCAATAATACAATATATTATATATTGTATACACGGAAAATACTTACATTCTCCCACTTGGTGCAAGTACTGGCACAACCTTCATTAAAGAACAAAATACAGGAACCATAGTAATATGTCATCTACTAATCAAGTGAGTAATATCTACTATGATCACATGCATTTAAATTCCCTAACTTAGGTTCTTTATGAACAAACCCTACGTTTATTCTTAGTCCCTTAATGGATGTTTCTCAAAATATATTATGTGCACAACTGAAGGAAGAAACCATCCAAATTCACTGTATGATCTCCAAAATCTTAGAAGCATGCCTTAAGTAGAGATCTCTTAATGTTAGCAGAATGCTAACTATATTCTATGACTTGTTTATAAGTTAACATAAACACTACCTCTAACGGCTAAGAGCTTGGAGTTGACACGTCTGTCACTCCCACTCATTAAGATAGCCAAAGATAGTCAAGTCATAGAAACGTTCCAATAACTTAGACAACAAACCAAAAAAATCTAAGTCCATAATTTGGAATCTTAAACATACACCAACTTCCCAAATAATCTCAAGGTCCACCTCGAAATTAATTGAACATTTACGAGTAATATTATGTCTTACAAAATTGTTTTGAGCCTTACAAACCAAAAATGGCCCAGGATCAATTTTGAAGAAACTAAAGACTCTATCAATCGCTAAAGAATTTATTAATTGAAAGTGCACCACAAGTTAAATGCTTTCGTTCTAATAAAGTCATTAATATTGTTACAACATTTTCATAAATATGTTGTACAACCAAACATTCAATGAAATGAACTTATGAATTATAAGAACAAAAAACTAAATTAATACTTGTGGAAACTTTTGGACTTATTGCTAGACGCACAATCCAATTTGGAATGTATGAAAACAATTAAATCCATCAGCTTTAGTGGAGTATTTAATGATCTTTTTCTAAATGATCACTCCCACTGATTAAGATATTCTTTAGCCAAATTAATTATGAGTGTTATATCATTGATTTAGCCAAATCCATTATTAGTGTTATATCATTAATCAGTGGGACTACTCGAAAGAATTCAATAATGAGAGTTAGTTAGAAAACACTCCGCAAATCCTGCTTCCTATTGTGATCTTACGCACGAATGGCGGCGCCACCGGGGGCCGTCGTGCCCCCTCCTCGCACCTTTGCCGATATCCTCACCCACACCTCTGATGCTTCGCCTCTTCGACCGACGGGTAGATACAAGGGTATGCCCGCAGTCACTTTCTCTGATGATGATGTTCGTCAATTTTCCCACAATGCAAATTCCGATTTGCTATGGTGGGCAAATTAGCGAAAATCCGTTCGCCAATGGTGGACATTCGCAAGACTTTTGACCAAATCGGATTTGGTGGAGCGTTCTCCCTCGGTTTGATAGATCAACGCCATATCCTGATCAACTTCGACCATGAGAATGACTTTCAACGTTGCTGGCTCCGACAAACCTGGTCGATCAAAGGTGCTCTAATGCGTGTCTTTAAATGGTCTCCGGATTTCAGGCCTGAGATCGAATCGCCAGTTGTACCGGTGTGGATAGCATTCGAAGGCCTGCCGGCACACCTCCAGGATAAACGTGCTATCTACTCGATCGCCAATTTGATTGGCCCCCCGCTGAAGGTTGTTGCCTCCACTCTTACGCACAATAGGCCCTCCCTGGCTCGGGTCTGTGTGGAATTGAATGTCAGCACCCCCCTCACTGAACAGATTTGGATCAACAATGGCTCCTTTGGTGGATTTATGCAGAAAGTTTCGTACGAGTTCGTCCCTCCATATTGTTTGGGTTGCCAAAAATTTGGTCATCTATCACCAGATTGCCGAGCACAGATGAAAGGACGCAAGGATCCCCGGATTGAACCTATGCCCAGTCGCCAACCACAGATTGTTCCACCAAGAAAAAGATGGCGGCTAATCGAACAAGAGACCGCACATCGGAGTGTTGATCCTCCGGCGAACCCTGCCCCTGATCCCCCGGCGATTGCCCCAAAATTCCAACCAGATGATAGAATACAAGACACCGATAGCTCTACGCCACAGGTAGCCATCCCAGACGCCAATGCGTTTCTGGGGGATACAGTCATAGATGATCAGAGCCTCCTTCAGCCCTCCCAATCAGATTCGCAACCCGGCCATTTATCAGAAGGTGACGAGGCTCATGATTTTCAAGCATACAGTCAATCCCTGCTTGAGTCTTGGAAAGAAGACAGTAAGCAATTTGCCTCTAAGTTAGGTAAATCCCAGCCAGATGATTTCATAACTGTGACCAAGAAAAAGAGGCGGCCTCGTGAGGATTATTCAGTGAATGTCCCTGCTGTCACGACGCGCTTCGCTGCTGGAAAAATCGCCCGCGTTTCCTTCTCCCACCGATTGAAATGAATCTGCTAAGTTGGAACATCAGGGGCCTGCTCACCTCACGGCGCAGGCACAAAAAAATTGTGAGACGTGAGCGCATTAAGTTTGTTTCAATTCTTGAACCGATGGTCTCCCAAGATCGGTTGAATAACTTTGTTCGTGAGCTCAGCTTTGACGATGGCTATGCATCCTTGACATCGAAAATTTGGCTGTTTTGGTCTGATTCTTGCATGGTTGATGTGCTTCTTGACACTGAGCAGTTTCTTCTTTGCAAAGTTCAGTACCTACCTTGGAATTTCTCCTTTAGATTCTGTGCAATCTATGCGAAGCACACTCGTGCGGAAAAGGCACGATTGTGGGAACAATTGGCTTCCTGGTTGGATAGTCCTGATCCGATCCTATTAGGTGGTGACTTCAACGTCATCGCTAGCATTTCTGAATACCGGGGTGAGGCTGTGCCGGATATGAATAATATCGTGGACTTTTCAGATTTTATAAATGATAATTCCCTGATTGATCTACCAGTATTAGGGAACCAGTACACCTGGCACGGTGTTCGCAGTTCGGGGGCAGTGTGGAAACGACTTGATCGCTTCTTGCTGAATGCTTCTATGCGGGACTATTTTACAAACATTACAATTAATATTCTGCCACGAACTACCTCGGATCATGCGCCAATTCTTCTACAAGGGGCGAATGCAACTATGTCTGTGCCAATGAAATTCAGATTCCAGAACATGTAGCTATCACACTCGGACTTTAACTCTCTTGTTACAGCTAATTGGTCTCTCCCATCAGCCGGGGGAGGCATGCGAGCTCTGGCTTACAAGCTTAAGCGTCTCAAATCAGCTCTTCGGGTCTGGAACAAGGAATCCTTTGGGAATATTTTGACCATGTCAGAGATCTTGAAGCCAGAGTGGCAGAGGCAGAGATCATCCATGCAAACAGCCCATCAGGTGAAGCAAGATCAGCACTCCACAATCTTCAAGCTAATCTCCTCCTTGCCTTAAAACGTGAAGAATGTTTTTGGAAACAGAAGGCGCGGGTCAAATGGCTTAAGGAGGGCGATTCAAACACTCATTTTTTTCATGCTGTGGTGAAGGACAGGCATCGCAGGCAAAGGATCTGTGCTATCAAAAGGCAAGATGGCGCTCTAGTAACCTCGCAATATGATATTCAGGCTGAGGCAGTTGCATTCTACTCTAATTTGTTCTCCACTGAGGCCTGTTCAGATTTGGATTCTCTTTTGCAGTGCCTCCCAAGTGACCTCGTCACTTCGGAGACGGGGCCCCTGTTAGCGCCGCTTACACAAGACGAGGTTAAAAGCGCAGTTTGGAAATTGGATCCTGACAGTGCGGCAGGTCCTGACGGGTTTTCGGGGTCCTTCTTCCGTCACTGCTGGGATATTGTCAAGGGGGATGTTTATAATGCAGCTATAGATTTTCTTACAGGGGTGGCGCTGCCGAAGGCCATGGCAAGTGCTCAAATCGTACTGATTCCCAAAAAGTCCAACCCGGATTCCTTTGCAGACTTTAGACCAATCTACCTTTGCACGTTCATGAGCAAAGTGTTTACCAGGATCATTACTTCTCGCCTCAGTCCGATTCTCCCGAAGATAATCTCAAGGGAACAAGCGGGGTTTGTGGAAGGCCGGAGCATCCAGGATAATGTTCTTTTGGCCTTCGAGTTGTTGCAATTCTTGAATAAAAGGTGTCGGGGCTCGAATGTCATAATTAAGCTGGACATGATGAAAGCATTTGATCGGGTAGAGTGGCCATGCCTGCGTGCAATTTTAATTAGACTCGGCTTCCCGCTCCCCTTTGTTAACATCATTATGCAGAACCTGGAGGTAACCAGGTTGTCGGTCTTAGTAAATGGGATCAGTTGTGGCTTCTTCCAGCCCACAAGAGGGGTCAAACAAGGGGATCCTTTATCTCCACTGCTCTTTATTTTGGTCTCGGAAGCTTTGTCCCGCTCTCTCATTTTGAAGATGGGAACTGGCTTGCTCTCGCCATATTCTTCGTCGGTGGGATGCCCCACGATCACTCATTTAGCTTTCGCCGATGACATCATTATCTTTGCTAATGGGGCGTCGAGATCTTTGAAAGCCCTGGTAGAGGTGCTCACGCAATACCAAGCCGGATCAGGTCAGAAGATTAACTTTCGGAAAAGCTTCTTTGTTACTTCCAGGCACTGCTCAGACCGCTGGGCTTCCGCTATGGCACGGTTACTCGGCATGTAGAGATCGGTCTTGCCTTTTCACTACTTGGGTGTAAATTTATTCGTGGGCAGAAATCGCCCGCTGTATTACCAACATTTGCTGGAGAAGGTTGACAGTAAACTCCTCGGCTAGCAGCGAAAACTTCTATCACCGGGCGGCAGGCTGACGCTAATCAAACACGTGCTGGCTATGATTCCCCTATACACAGTGGCTTCAACCATGCTTCCACGCCAAACAGAAAAATCCCTTGAATCCAGGTTTGCTAAATTTTTCTGGGGTACAGTGAATGGGCAGCAAAAGAGACATTGGGTGGCTTGGGACAAGGTTTGTTACCCTACTGAAGAAGGCGGTATGGGTGTCCAGTCGCTCAACACCATATAACACGCTTTCTCAGCGAAGCTGCAGTTCAATTTTTTTCAAGAGAATTCCTTGTGGACTAATTTCCTTAGGGCCATCTACCCGGATGACAGATTCCGCAAGGCTGCTTCGATCACCTGGAGGCGCATGCAACAACAGAAAGATTTTGTGGAGGATAACATGGTGGTGAGTTCTACAGGATTTCCAGTTTGGACGCCATCTACTTACGGAGACTTCACGCTCTTTACAGCTTATGACCTCCTTCGCCCGAAGCAAGGTCGCAGCCTGTCCTCATCTTGCATCTGGGGTGGTGGTTTGCCGTCAAAAGTCTCTATATTCATGTGGTGGCTACTCAGACGTTTACTACCTTTTCCGGACATTATCCAAGCTTTCGGTTTCTGCCTGCCCTCAATTTGTCCTCTCTGCAAGGCCCATTCGGCATATCTAAATCACTGCTTATATGATTGGCACTTGGCTCGGGAGATTTGGATGCATTTTGGGGGTTTTTTTGGCTTGTCTACTGCAGGGTCTATCCGCGCCCAGTGTCATGCTTGATGGCTATTGGCGCCGGCGGGATCGGCGCTTGACTCCTTTGCTAAATTGGTTCCCTGTATGATTTTATGGTTCTTATGGAGGGCGTACAACGATTGTATTTATGGCGATGCACCTTTCTCGACCGCAGGAACTGTCGCTAACATCAAGCGAGAGTTGGTTTTACTCTCTTTGGCACATCCCATTCGCTGCTCAACTACTCTGGATTCTGTTCTTGTAGCTGCTGGATTGGTGGCGCGATTTTCTGCTCCCCCCAGGACTGTATCTCTGTGGGTGAAGTGTCTTGCGCCGCCAACGGGAAGATTGAAACTCAACACGGATGCCATTTTCACAGGGGGCGGTGTCGCGGGAGGAGCCTGCTTAAGGAACTCGCGTGGCCAACTTCTTGTGGGGCTCTGCTTTCGCTTTGAAGCGTCATCGGCGCTAGAAGCTGAGGCTTGGGCGCTTCGCCTTGCCATCCAATGGTGTGAAGCCTTTGCTAGAAGGCCGCTCGAGGTGGAGGTGGATTCGCTAGCTCTTACTGTCCTAATCTCTTCTGGAACATCGCGTCTGCCATGGAGGATAAGTGAGGCCATCCTCTTCATTCGATCCTGTCTTGACTCTTGGGGCTCATCAATTCGCCATGTTTACCGGGAGGCCAATCGGCTAGCCGACGCTCTTGCAGCAGTAGGACTTAGTTATACTGTATCGCAGATTTTTGCTAGTGCTGAATCCTTACCTGTATCGGCCAAAGTGGTTTTTCTGTACGATCTTGGAGGCTTTGCCTCGCGGCGGGCTATTCGGCATCAATAAAGACCTTTTATTTTAAAAAAAAAATCCAAATTATTTTCGGGACAAAAAAAAATTGATTTGACCAACTAAATAATGAAGATATAATTCCCCACCATTAGTTGGGCATACTAAATAATCAATATTTGGTTCCAATTATAGTCCAACTAAATGAATAATTAATGAGGATATGATTCTCCACCATAGTTGGACATACTAAAATAATAAAATACGCCTTCCATAACCAAGTTGGAATCTGGCTCAAAAGGATACATTTTATTATTGGAATCCAAAAGAGGTATATCATACCACGCAACTTACTATAGTTAGTCCAAATAACCAAGTAAGCTTCGTGAAAAAATAATTAATAAAAGGTGTATCTGAATTTTGGGAAGTGACTAAATACATGTTTTGCCAATGCAAACCACAAAACTTAGAATTATAATTGAACTAAATTTATAAATTCTAAGAAATTGAGATAAAGTTATTATCTAATGGGTTGATGAATTTATTGACATAAAACTTGCCTGTGGGATAAAGTTTTAATTCTATTAAATTCAATTAAGAAATCCTTATGATAATATCTTAATCTCAATTACTAAATGGCCAGAAGAATCTAGTGAGATAAAACTTGCCTGTGGGCTAAAGTTTTACTCAATGAGATCCAACTGAAATTTTATGATGAAACAATTATCAAATGAGTTGAAGAATCAAGTGACATAAAACTTGCCTGTGGGCTAAAGTTTTAATTCAATTAGATTCATTACAACTAGGGCTGCTAACGAGCCGAGCCGAGCTCGAGCTTTGGGTAGCTCGAGCTCGAGCTCGATTTGTTAGAGGGGAGCTCAAGCTCGAGCTCGGAAATGGGGCTCGAGCTCGAGCTCGTCACAATGTTGAGCAACTCGGCTCGAGTTGCTCGTTTGTTCGAGCTCGAGCTCGAGCTGCTCGACTTGGATTCGAGTTCGCGAACTTGTGCTCGAATTCAAGCACAATTTGACCTATTTAATACATGCTGAATCAGAACTTAAAAAAAAAAAATCAAAGTCCAAAACAAAGCTCTCCACACAAGTTTACAGCTTCAAATCTAAAGTAGAAGTCTACAACAACATTACAAAATACAAACAGATTAAACAACTTCACATCAATTCAATACAAGTTAAAGAACTTAACATCAACTTCACATCAATTCAATACAAGTTAAAGAACTTAACATCAACTTCACACTCGCCATGCTTTTCAATCTTCACTCTTTCCAGCAACAACGCCCTGTCAAAAAAGATTAGGAACAATCATTCTAACATAACCTGCAAATCTTTAGATCTTAAACACACTAACTAAATATATAAAAGCTGTAAATGATCAATATATAGATTTTAATTGAGATGTTACTCATCAGTTGGATACTGGAAGATAAAGTGTGTAACTTACTTTCATGGGTTGGATACAGGAAGATAAATTTCTTGATACGATTTCTCTTTCTGGAAAAAAAAAAAGAAGATAAATTAACATGTAATTAAACAAATATTTGTAAAAGGCAATGCATCATTTAACATAAAAGTTATAAATTACAAATTAACTTACTTTGTTTATGGTAACTCCGTGTATATGTCGAAGCCAATCACCCCCACAGAGTAAAGCTTGTACTGTTTCCGGCAGCAATGATGCACGATAATAATCAATTACTCGTGTCCCCGCACTAAACGTTGCTTCTGAAGCCATCGTGCTAACATGTATAGCTAAGATATCTGCTGCCAATATTGGATAGTGCATTCTATTCATCTTTCACCAATCCAAACAAGAAAAGTCTGCAGCAATCTCACTTTTCTTAAGACGGCTTTTTTCAAGATAGTCTGCTAACTCTGATTTCTTAGGCTCTGAAGTTTCAACTTGAGCACAATAATCATCAAAATCATCCCAATCGTATGTAGAACTTTGACGGCTTACTTGGCTCCCAAAAGTTGTAGAAGAGCCTAAATTTTCAGAAATGCCTTTGTTCATTGCTTCAGCAACATACTCTTCATAAAGAGTATTGATGATCTCTTTCACTTTTGAAATGTTTTCCTTAGCTTCAATATCAGAATACAGTCTAGGAAAACAAAACTCAACAGCAAGCATCTTCTTTGTTGGATCAAAAACAGCACCTATAGCCATCAACAAATTACACTCACCCCAATATTTATCAAACTTCATTTTCATTTTCCCAACCAAATCCTTAATAAAGGAATACTCATCATTTGCATGACTATCCAAGGCTGCTTTGATTTTCTGAACTTGTTGAAGAAATAAATTTGAAGTAGGGTACTCACAACCTGAAACAAATTTGAATTCAGATACTCACAAGTCACAATCTAAAACAAATTTGAAGAAACAAGTTAAAACTTAAAAGAAACAAACCTGAAATAATGTGAGTAGCTGTCCAAAAAGCCTCTAAAATAGAGCAAACCTTGGTAACTTTAACCCAATCATCTTCTAACGGACAACTGTCGAAGAATGGATCACGATCATTTAACATCTTAAAAGCTTCTTTAAACTTGAGTGCACAACTTAGCATCTCAAAAGTCGAGTTCCATCTTGTTTTACAATCACGGATCAATTTTCTATCTTTCAACTGTAATTGCTGCACACAATGTGCAAACTGTATACGTCTTGCCTCCGATCGGTTCACATATTCGACACTATCTCTAACATCCCTAATGACATGTCGAATCTCTTCTAATCCAATAGAAGAATTCATGCTATGTAGCAGGAAGTTCACTTTTACTCTTCAATGAAGTTATTGTGGAACCTGCAATCTGGTGCAAGGCCCCAATTATTGATGATTTGAAATCTAAAGTAGTATGAGAATGATATGTGTCCACAATCCACAAAATGAAGCAACACCCCTCAAAAGGACAAAGGAGTTTGGATTTGGACTATTTGGTAAAGGCTGGAGAAGATGAGTGACTTATGTGGTGTAAAGGATACCAACCACTGGTATCTTCAACTGAGCTTTCAGATAGTTAGCGAACAGAAATTAGCACATTTTATTCCATATGTATTTTCTCTTACAAGCTTCTAGTTATGGAATTGTCCTAGGTCTCCTTTGTATACTACTTTATATACAATAGAAGAATTCATGCTATGTAGCAGGAAGTTCACTTTTACTCTTCAATGAAGTTATTGTTGAACCTGCAATCTGGTGCAAGGCCCCAATTATTGGTGATTTGAAATCTAAAGTAGTATGAGAATGATATGTGTCCACAATCCACAAAATGAAGCAACACCCCTCAAAAGGACAAAGGAGTTTGGATTTGGACTATTTGGTAAATGCTGGAGAAGATGAGTGACTTATGTGGTGTAAAGGATACCAACCACTGGTATCTTCAACTGAGCTTTCAGATAGTTAGCGAACAGAAATTAGCACATTTTATTCCATATGTATTTTCTCTTACAGGCTTCTAGTTATGGAATTGTCCTAGGTCTCCTTTGTATACTACTATAGACTGTTCATTGTTCCTCTCTCACTTGACTGTAACACATAGAAATAGAAAGGACGTTTCGTTTTGTATAATTAAGAACTTGTGATTCCTTATATTGGTGATGCTGCTTGCCTGGTAAAACATGTTAGAATATGGTAAATTAATTTCCCTCCTATGGATAGCAAATCTGGTAAATTCATAAACTACTGCATAACTTTAGGAAAATTTGTGAATTTTCAGTCAAATTCACAGAGGCTCTAAATCATGTTTAAAGTAGTGACAACTGACAACTCACAAGACATGACAAGCAAGGCTTTCATCTTTTTTCTTAATTGCACTCTTGATACCCTAACAACTTTATTGTAACACCCCGAAATTTTGAACTTTTGATACTTATATAATAAGGGTAAATTCTCATTAAATCCAAAAACATAACATAAGAGTACGGGGGTGCTATGCCACACCTGAGCTAGAGAACTCAGGTGCACAGGCTCACTAACTAAAATCCTCAATAATATCAATACATAAGCATGGCACGCAGGCCGAAAGGGAAACTATCTACTCTACGCTCCGGATCTCTAGCGTGCTCCAGTGTCTACTCATCTGTGCCTGAAAGCCAAATATATCTGTTCAGCGAGCGATGCTGGTAACCCACTCCAACGCGTAGAAATACATTACATATATATATATATATATATATATATATATATATATATATATATATAAGAAAAACCATTTTGAAGCAGGAAGATATATCCTAGGAAACTCTAGCTTTAAAACCGGGAACAAACTCGACATATAGGGATAAGCACAGCCAACAGGTATAACCAAGCATATACAGATACTAGCATATATCCTATAGTCACGATTTCACTTCATATCATTCTTATCACCATACAATTCATATCTCATCACACAAGCACACTTTGATGGCGCCACAGGACCAATCGCATGCCCATACATGAGGGTCAGCGCATATAGCTCTGACATGGCCCCGCAGCACCCTGCCTCGTATCGCAACACGAAGGGGTCGATCGCAACCGACCGATAAACCGCAGCTCATCATAATGTTTGATCGCAACCAAACAGTGGACCGCAGCCCAAGAGTGATCATCTGACCGCATCCATGATATGAACCGCAGCTCATGTAAAACGTTTGATCGCAACCAAACGGTGGACCGCAGCCCGAGAGTGTAAATCTGACCGCAGCCAGCTTCTGAACCGCAGCTCAGGAATAACCAATTTGATCGCAACCAAATTGGGGTATCATGCACGCATAACACATAGCAAGCACATGCAACCCACATTAACACATTGGGAAGGGGGAGAAATCGTATAACGAAACCTATGCGTGGTCATCCACAGACTAGGAATAATCCTAAGGGGTTCATGCTTCTTTCACCTAGGCCAACGGGATATCAATTCCACTAGCACGCAACGTATATATATATATATATATATATATATATATATATATATATATATATGACTCGTTTATCCTACGAATGGTACCCGAAACATCAAACTAGACTTTAGGCACGACAGACGGAGTCCATTGGGACACCACGAGGGTCGGGGGAACATCAAACGGGGAAGCCGGAGTCCCGAGGTGGGATAATTTCCAGCGGGTAGCCGGTGGGTGAAGGGTCACCCGCCGGCGACAAGTCTCCGGGTAGCGGGTGCCCGGCGGGCAGTCGCCTGCCCGCCGGCTACCCGCTGCCGGCGGAGTTATTTCTGGTCGCGGGTAGGTGGCGGGTCCCCTACCCCCCACTGACTCTTTATCACTTTAAACGCCCCGGGATCCTTTGTGGAACCCGAAACCATGCTTAGACACCTTTAAACGCAATTGATGACACCACGTAGACAATTAACGGATCAAAAGCAAGAATCATATGGCACGTAACCTATCGTAATTTCTAAACCAACAACAACACCCGAGCATGCGAATTCCCACCCAATACATCAAGGATAACACAATACAAATTTCACGATACATCCTAGGGTTCTAATCATATTTAAATCATCAAGAACATAACTCATCTTTTAATATCAAGAAGCATTAAGATTCATCAAGAATATCACACAATTATCAAGAATCCCTTATCATCATCAAGATCATCAAGATCACACATAAAATCATATCACCAATTATCAAGATCACATCATCAACATCATAAACGATTCATCAAGACACGAGAATATAGAGGGATGCCTAAGAGGGAGATCATAGCTAAGAAAATAGGTTTTTGTTGAGACATGGATTACCTCTTAGCCTTAATTAATTTCCTTGGCTATGAAGGGTCTTTCTCTAAGGTTTTTTCTTTCTTGATTTCTCCTAAGGGAATTCTTGGAACTTCTTGTGTGGTGAGAGATTATTGTGGTGTGGGTTCTAGGTGCCCCCCTATGTCCCCTATTTATATACCTAAGAGTCCCAATTAGGGTCTAAATACTATAGGCTTGCTAATTCTATTCCTTTTTGGACTAGGGGCTGGGTTTTAGAGGTGAGGGCCCACGGACTATGGTAGGCCTTTTCCTAATTAATTACTGTAATTTAATTCTTTCTTTTGGGTAAATGATTAAATGATTAATTGGTTTTAGGGGTCGTAACACGGGGTGTTACACTCTCCCCCCCTTACAAGGGGCTTCGTCACCGAAGCCGGTGTGTTAATCCATTCTTTCACCCCTGGACACCCCGTATTTTGGCCTCCTGGTTAGGAACGTAGCCCCACGTGTTGTCCTTGCTGGGGTAGACTGGATCCCTAGTGACGTGGTGATAGGAAAGTTCGGGTCTACCTTGGTTTCCTGCTCCGGAACTGGATGCCCCGCGAGTGCCCAAGATGGTTTCGATTGCTGCCACCCTCTGATCTAAAGCGCGTGTCGCGTGGATTAAGAATGAGAACCCTTCGTCCATGATTTGGTTTTGCCGGGTGAGTTGCGCTAGGATGCGCTCGTTGACAGAGTCTTCGTTCTGTCCCCTTGGGTTTCCTCCTGTTTGTGCGGGTGCCGGTGGGTTAGGCTCGCTATCCTCTTCCTGATCCTCACTTCCCTCTAGTCCCCCACAATCTTGCATTGCTCGTTTAAGCTTTTTGTTGGAGATGTCCAATCGGTCGACCAATTCTCTCCGCTCCTCATCGGGTTTCAGGCAAATCTCTTCGAGGGTGATGTATTGTCCCCCTTCG